AGCATACGACTTTCGACAATGCAGTTTGATCGGTGTGCTTTCAGACAGTCTTCCTGTCCTACGTAATAGCTGATTAAACTTCAGCACAAGGTGTAAAGGCAAACATAAATTAAAAACATTTTTTTAGAAATACACAATCAATTGGATAAGTCATTACTTGGTACATTTTACCACACGCTTAGACTGTCTTGAAATGAAGTCGCAGTAGTGGCGGTGGTCTTTGCATTGGCGGTTGAGAGAAGCCACTTCTTCAACAAATCTGTTGATCATCCAAGGCTTGCTGAGTAATCCGTTGTTCAGATGGTATAAAGTATGACAAAAAGGCACAGACTTCTTTAGGGCTTGATAGGAAAAGCGGGTTCCTATCTTTTCGTCTGGGTTGTCAGCCATAATGATGGACAGCCTTGCATTGAAGACTTAGAGATCTTTCACCTGCATACCATAAGCTTTCGTATAACTTTTAACCCAAAGACTAAACAACACATTGTTGCCGAAAGGTCAGCTCATATAGAAGCAAATTCAGCATATCATAAAAACCTGTGTATCACATTCGGTCAGTGATTCATTCATACCTGTTCATACAATTCATTCTTTACCAAACTGATAGCAACGGTTCGGACGAGCTCCACGTTGTTCAACAAGTCCTGAAATGAGAAACGACACAACACCCAAACTGAGCAAATATGTCGTCTATTTGCTTACGCTGTGAGCCATGATAACCCCGGACGCCTTGTTGCAAAGGTTGCCCTTCAGGTAGAAATCGATGGCACCGGAAAAGTCTTGTTCCTGCTCTTTTAACTTAAACAAAAAATATGAAGAATGAGGCAAAATGTATTTTTTAGCTAGGTGTCGCCTGGCTAACCTGTGCCGCCTTTTCAAATTGCCCAGAATCGATCAAGTAACGGAAGTATTCTGATGTAAGCTCCGCAATATCTGAATAACCCTATAATTTACCACACGTATGTTTAACCAGAGTATTAGACCACGTACGCTGATTTACACCCAGTAAATATACCCTGGCAGAGATTACGCTCCCGAACGCACGGTCTAATTCATGGAGGATGAATGAATGAACAAATACATGAGTGAATAAGTAAGCGAATGAAAGACTTACAGAATGAATGAATAAACGAACGAAATGTCATATGAATATACGAATGATTGAACAGAAAAATGATGGAATAAACAAAAGAATAAATGAAAAATGAACAAGCAACGAAAGGTTGATAGATAAATGAATTAGAAAAGCAAATCGATCGAATAAATGAACGACTGTAAAATGAATCGATTAATAAATTAACGAAGGAACATCACAGATCTTAGTCAGGCTAGCACTGTTGCTCTCCGGATAAGACAATGGGTTCAGAGGATGGAATATTCCTTTTGATAGAGCAAAAATAAGCCTCGATTATTTTAAGTCTGTAGCTTTATCAGAAAATGAAATAGTGATCTTCTCACGTCTTCGTGCAACGAAACTACTGCAAAACAAAGAAACTCGCCAGTTAACTTTTACAGCTGCCTTGTTCCACTAAACATGAGAAAACCTCCCTGGTTTTGCCAAAGCTATAGAGCTACCTACTTACAGCAGCTATAAGCCAAGTAAAACCATTGAGTATCGTGCTAAGTTGAATAAAAAATACTGCTGACTTAAATGACAAAAAAGTTAAAGGTTTTTATTATATTTGATTTCAGTAAGCAAATATCATAATGAATTATCATACAGGGAAATGAGAGCGATGTTTAATGCCTCTACTTCTAAACACTGTTGCTCTTTCTGAAAAATTATAAATGAGCGGCTGAATACCCTACCATAAACACCGTGAAATGCAAGAAATAAAATAGGAAATCATCGAGTGGTTGCACTAACTTTCTTCTTCGCACGTCTACAATGGATCCTATCATTGACTGAGCTTACAGTGCAACAGTGATCTGCGCGTCTATTTGTTCAGTCCATTGTAATGTATTCATGACGGTGATATTTACTGCAATGAAAGCAACAGTTATTAGCCTTTTGCCTTTTCTTCAAAGCGAAACTTTTCTACCTCGGAAGATGAACGATCAAATGCTTGACAAGGATTTGTACCAAAATCATGCGATTAATGGTGCAATGATGTGCCAACCTCATCTCTCAAATGAAAGAAACATGGAACATGAATTTTATATGTGACAATTTGACAGACTGACATCGTAATCTTAGCAAACTGTTTTCTTCGTTAGTGTTAATTGCGTTAAAACTTATTCTTTACCATATTAAACCATGGGTAGTTGTATATGTTCAACACTTAGAAGTACGTAATAGCAAATTGTTTACCGAAGTTCGGGCCAATTGCAAGGCCTCTTCCCACTTGTTCAATGATCTGTACAAATCAACAGCTTCGCCTATGTCACCCTGAAAGAAGGTGTTAATTACGCAGGTAAATTAACAAATCATTTGACATGTCAACACTTGCCTTGTCCAAATAGATTTTCGCAGCTTTTGCCAGATCATTATTTAGTATAGCAATTTTAACCTGCACGTTGTAATCGTTGATTCCCTCAGGGCTCTAAGTCAAGTATTAAATGAATCATGGTTTCTAAACTCAAACCGTCATACCTTCCTTATCATACGCTTAACGTCAAACAGGAATCGCAAGTAGCAAACATCTCGTAAAGTGG